GTGTGTGTGTGTGTGTGTGTGTGTGTGTGTGTGTGTGTGTGAGAGAGAGAGAGAGAGAGAGAGAGAGAGAGAGAGAGAATCTTCAAATCGACGAATCTTGCGCAAGAAAATGGAGATATACACTACCTGGTTGAATACGGCCGACACCTGCAATCACGGCGCGGCGCAGAACAAACCTGCAGCTAATAAAGGCCCCGCGCCGCGCCGCGCCGACACCAACCAAAAAAAAAAACGGCACCCGACTCGACCCCCCGGCGTAAAAAAAAAACCGGCACCGGACTCGACCCCCCGGCCTCACCGAACCGGCACGGAGTCCGCCCTTGGGCCTGCCACGAGTCCCACACCAGGGAACCGGGTCTCGCGCGGGACCGTCACGCGAGACCCGCGTTTTCCTTTATATGTATAGAGATAGAGAAAAAAAAAAAGGCAATCCCAGATGGCATTGGTTGTGCAATGGGTGGGGAACAAGGGCGGTAAGGAATCATTCTAGATAGAAATTAAATGATGCGATTCAGTGGCGGAGGTGGTAAGGCACGATCACAGTACCGATGACAGTATCATTACCATCTTTCCCCGAACAGAATGTGCCGTCATTATAGCTGTATTTGAAGCAACTTGCAGTCTTGACACAGGGATAATAACCGCATGTTCTATTTGGGGGAAGACGGAAGGAGCCATAGTTCCTATGGATGGCAGGTGCAGATGTGATGATCATATATACTAGTGATTCATTCGGGGATGCTGCGAGTCCAGAGAGTAGAATGAATGCAATGCTAGGTCTGTGACTGTGACAGCTGCAGAAGTTACACATGGTCAAATCACCCACCGTATCGCAGACAGACGACGAAACGACATCTCGCAGCACTACAGCCTGTAGGTGAGACCAGTGAGATCCAGGTGATTTTTTTTTTTTTTTTTTTTTGTTACCTGCCAGTCAGAGGGCCCTGGGGAATCCGTGGCACGCAAAATTCACGGTAGGAGCTCGCATCGTGCGCAAGCGGCAAGCGTACCCAACAGTGAGTGGGCCAATACCTACTATGTATGACCCTGCCAGCTCGTGCTCGATGGGAGGACAGGGGACAAATCACTGTGGATGGCCACCAGCAGGTGAGAGAAAGCAACTGGCGCAATTGGCAGTGAACACAGTGTTAGAAACAGTCCAGATGGGAAGACAAGCAGCAAGGCCGTTTTGTAGGCACATGCTCGCTTGACTGAGGCATTAACCTCAATCGAGAACAAGCGCCAAAAAAAAGCACAAATGGAACATAAGGCCACGACACAAACACAGTTGTCACAACAAACATCACAAAACAGAGATGATAGAAGACTCGGGTTGAAGGAAAGCGTGATAGAATGGAAACCTACCGAAAACACTCTTCAACTGGAGGAGGGAGAAAGAGGAGATGTCGTTGGGAGAACCGCGAACGAACTCTCTTCTCCAGAAGTTGGTCTGCATCCTGGCACCCCCCAATCACACCACCGTACCACGCTCTGTTAGCCCATGAAAGCAATAGGCAGCAGAAGTCCACAGCTGAGTCGGGAATACAATAAAGAACTCCATGCGTTCACCTCCGTGATACTGTGGATGCGATCTCAAGACATGGTTCTAGAAACAGGCAGCTTGGTAGAAGGATCCTGCTCCTATCTCGCCTCGAATGCCATTCACACGACCTCTCTCTCAGCATAAGGTCACAATGTCTTCCAAAAAATGTAGCAGAAGCTCATCTACTGAGAGCGCAGCACTGATAGACCCCCTGGCAGCTTTGCGGGGAGTGCAAAATGCACATGTAACTTGACTTAAGGATTCTATCCAGGCAGAGTCATCTACCGGATTGTGAGCATGGGGGTGGTATCGTACAAAAAAGGTAGCAGAAGCTCATCTACTGAGAGTGCAGCTCTGATATACCCCTGGCAGCTTTGCAGGGAGTGCCAGATACACATGTGAGGATTCTTTCCAGGCAGAGTCTTCAACCAGATTGTGAGCATGGGGGTGGTCGCCTGGCATCAGATCGCTCAGTACATGTGTTACCTATTAGTATTGGCTACATCATTTGCATCATTTCCTACGGCTACAAACATCAACGGCACAGATACAACCCAGGCCCAGGTACAAACCTCAACAGCCAAGATACAACACAGGCCCTAACCCCAGACCTGATGTAACCCTGATAATGAAAGCAATGTTCCCATCCGAAGGGCAATTGGTATATGGAACAGGCGTGCTCACCACTCTGCAGCTAAGACCCAACACTGCTGCCTGGGCCTCAGATGACTGCATTGCGTCAAGGAGATTATATAGCAAAGTCTGCTTGGATTTCTGCTTGCAAAAAACGGACCAAATAGCGCACACAATACCAACACACCTGGTTTCAGAAAATGCACCGTTAACATGCCATCACCACAAGGACCAGGATCAGGATGAGAATCTCCATATTACAGACTGGATCTCAATCTAAACATCGGGATCTGGTTTATGACCCATGCCTAAGTACAATTGTCGCATTTGCTTCGAAAATTTTGTGAAACCAACAAGCAGCACAGAAGTAGGAGGAGGTTGAAATTTGAAACTAAATCTGTGCACGTTGCTGCAAGTTAAATGATAGACAGTTTTTCAAGGGTGTACATATTGGTCAATCCACTGAAGACTATAATGCTCCTTACCCTTGGGAAAAAAGGGTTGAATGCACACAGCTACAAAGGAGGTGGAATCACACCCAACCTTATGCCAGAATCTCTGCCGCAAGCAACAAAAGGAGACAGTACAGAGGGCTCAGAAAAAAAAAAAAAAAAAAAAAAAAAAAAAAAACAGAAAAGTCATGACGATCTAGGGTCAAGAGATTAAACCACAAAAGTCATGATGATCTAGGGTCAAGAGATCTAAAAGACTAAAACCAATCCCTCCATAACACACATGCGTCCGAGCTTTGTCAATTTGCTCCTCTAATCCAACCAACCCCTCTCCCCTCCCTCCACCCCCCACCTCTCTTTGCCTACTATCACAATCAGATCTACCCACTGGAAACATTGAAACAAGCACACCAGACAACCACCATACAAAAGCAAGCAGGAAGCAAAGTAAGGGGCAAGAAACAAACAGAAAGCAATCCTTAGCAAAAAAGAATTAAGCCAAAAGGAGAACACATCAGGAGGATGCATGCATAAGAACCTGCAGTCCGGGAGTGGTACGAG